TATATATATAGAGAGAGAGAGAGAGAGAGAGAGAGAGAGAGAGAGAGAGAGAGAAGGGGGGGGAGAAAAAGAGAGATGTTATTTTGGTCAAGAACAATAAAGTGTCCCTTTGTTCTTGCCGAGTTACATTAAATGGATAGACCTACCTGACTACTGTACAATGTATACAGAAAACGTATGCCGTGTCATAATAAATTACGTGTGGGTATGCTTGAGTTTCCAATCAGGCAGAACAGCACAAAAAGTAGCAAAAACCAAACAATACAGCATAAACAAACGAAAATAATGCAACGACCCAGAAAGAAAAACCCATCTTCTTTTCGTGCCAAAGAGAAACAGTGCGTAGCGATTTACGAGCGAGACATGTATATCACATTAACAGCCGGGCCTCTTTGTCGTTTTAGTATTCCGAGTCTTCTTCCACAGCAGCAAATGTCGTAGTAATGATCTGTGCCCTACGCCCCTGCGTGTTTTGCGTTGTGGAGATAATAGAATTTCATGGTAGGCTCTCAGGGCTCGTATTTGTGTGAGCAATTCTTTGGGCGCTTTTATGACACCGAATCGCGATATAAGTGTTTTGGCAGGCAAAAAAACGTTAAACCATGACGTGCGGGCAATTGTATATATCCGCTAAATCAACTTCTAAGAATGATATGTAAGGAAGGGGTTATAACTGTTCTGCTTTGGTTGCCATAAAAATGGCCTGTTCATAAGCGTCCAAGGGGAAATGTGTACAGAACAATAATTGTCTGAAGGACAGTAGGACCCACTGAAAAAAATAAATGTTTTGAGAAAAATCACTTCTCCATTTCTTTAGTTTCGATTTGCATGTAATTATAATTGCATTTGTACAGCGGGTATTCACGCCCAGCAGCATGCTCTATGCGCCTTACAACTATTATCACCCAAACAAGCCCTAGACCACTTAGAAACATTTTCGATTACCCGGGGAGCGTTGATTTCATCGTAACTCAGCTCACGTTATATCATCTTATTTTAGCTCATTTCATATCATATTGTCTCATGTCATGTCATGTGTGTCATTTATATATTTTACATTATTTCCTCTTATCTCATATCTTGTTATTTAACGCAAATCATTTTATTCTAGATCATTTTATCATAACCTATCTCAACCCATTTGTGTTATCTTATTTGCTGCTAATTTCCTAATATTAACTGATCGCATATCATCTCCCCTCATCTCCTCCATGTGTCCTTAGCACCCGCCGGAGCACCAAGTTCGCGAGAACCTTGCTGTGCACTGGTGACAACAACGACTGGCAGACACAGGAGTGCCTCGACCTCACCCGCTACCTGCCCCCGCACTACACGTCGTCCAAGAAGGTTCGGGAACTCATCGAGGTCAGTCACGATGGCGTCAGTGGCAGAGTGTTGGTTGCAATGATTGTAAATTCTATAGTAAAGAGCGAGATTGTATAGACATATATTTTTTAATCAGAGCGCAATGTAATGTTTATCTGTTACTGCTGTATTGTTAAGCGCTCAGAGATTGTTGACTTTTAAGCTTGGTTGAGAGATTTATAATTGCTATGTATTATTATTGTTGTCATTATTGTTGTTGTTATTATTATTATTATTATTATTATTATTATTATTATTATTATTATTATTATTATTATTATTATTAAATGTAGTAGCCCACATCGACGAAATTTTGATCATTTACGAGTCGGGCTGGTTGATTAGGCAAGAACTGAATATTGTCACAGCTAAATTTTCCTTGCATATTTTGCCCTTACCATTGTCTCTTAAAGTGGATTTTAATAATATGTATCTATGCCTAGCAATTTCATGCGTTCCCTTAAACAGTATGGCTCCCATTATCTAAATCGATTTCCAGTTATATTACCCAATGAATCCAACCTGTTCTGAAGGAATGATGCAATGCTGTTCTTGGTCTTTCTTTAGGACAAGCACACCAAACTATGGCACACACCTCATTACGAGAACGAGGCCAAGTTGAAACAACTGTACATCAAGATCTGCAAAAACCTCCCCTCTTATGGATGCAAGCTTTTCCAAGTGAAAGAAATACTCAGGGGAAACACACAGAAAAAGGTAAATTTCTGGTCCTTTTGTTTGTTTGTTTTCAATTCAGCGACAAAGTGTTTCATTATACCAAATTACAGCACCATAATATACAGCAGTACTTTATCAGATACAAATTATTGTGAATGGTTATAATGCTTTACGACCCCTTCCATACAATTTAGACTATTGAGGGGCAAGCTGCTTTGACTCTTAAGACCAACCTGGGTAAGGTTGGATACAATACCGCGGAAGACAGACGAAGATACAGGGTAAATTAACCTCCCCAAGAGGGAATTGTATCCACATTCTCTGCACACAATAGTGAAGAGTTCAACCATTACACACAGACACCGATCCCTTGAGGTTATTTTTGTATGCATCAGATTGAATAAGGACAAATATTATTGGGCTTTCTTTATTCGTCTTGGCCATTTAGCTTAAGCTC